AGCGAAATGCAACGGCAGCTCATTGCAATGATAGCTTCATGCAACGATAACTTGATGCAACGATAACTCGATGCAACGATAACTCGATGCAACGATAACTCGATGCACCGGTAGCTGCATGCAATGGCAGCTCATTGCAACGATAGCTGCATGCGACAATAGCACAATGCAACGATATCTGCATGCAACAGCAGCTCATCGCAACGATAGTTTGATGCAACGCTAGCTCAATGCAAGGGTAGATCGTTGCAACAGTAGCTTGATGCAATGATAACTCGTTGCAGCAATAACTCGATGCAACCATAGCTCGATGCAATGATAGCTAAATGCAACAGTAGCCCGTTGCAGCGGCAGCGTGTTGCAAGCACTGCGCACCGCAGCAGCAGCGCCGGCACCGGCCTCGCTCACCGGCACGGGTCGCTGCAGGTGCCACCGGTGTCACCAGCACCGTGTCCCGGCGCTGCCGAGCCTGGACGGGTGTTGAAGAGGTGGATGAAGAGCAGGCAGGAGAGGAGGGTGAAGAGGGCGGCAGCCAGCACGGCGCAGCGGGAGCACTGGGCAGAGCGGGATTAAAAATCACCTTTTCCACCTTAAAACCCACCACCCACGGGCCAAAAGCGCCCCGGGAACACCCGTGAGGAGGAGGAGGAGGAGGAGGATGATCCGAGCCTGGCACGGTCATCGCACTGCGATTTCCACGAGCCCCGGTGAGGATTTACCTTCTGCGCCAAGCGGCCGAGCTGCTGCGGTGCCGGCGGCTCCTCCGGCTTCTCCAGCTGCGGAAGGGACAGAGCAAGTCGGGAAGGAGGTCCTGGATCGCCCACTTTCCTGTCCGGGCAGGTTTTGCGCAATATTTGCAAATCCCGTCGGGATTGTACCTGCTCGTAGGCCACGTAGGGCTTCATCGCTGCCGGAGCAGAGCTCGGGAAGCAAGCGCCGGGATTGGGGATCTTCCCCTACGGAGCTGACGGCTGGTCCTGTGTCTGCGCGTCCGGCTGTGCGTGCGTCCGTGCGGCGCCCCGGGGTGTTGCACAGGCGCCTGACTCACGGGGCGGCTCTGGCAGCGCAAGGAAGGGAAGTTTCCCA